ACTGCTAATTAAGCTTATCTTGGCCACTTTGATCAAACTCTTATTTAAATATATACCGTTTGATTTTGATTTTTGTACTTCTAATATGTTCATTTTTGTCCATATATTATAAATTTTTAATTCTTGTATTTTTAGACCGTTCATTTTGGTCCTTTTAAATAGTGATTGTTTTGATCCATTTATTTTTATTTTTATCTCATTTCTTTCCATCATAATTTTAACATGATTTTATACTAAGTGTAGCTAGAAATTTGTATTTAAAATGTTTTTATGTGTAAAACAGTTTTGTTAACTAGAGACTAAATTTGTCACGTTTTAAAGATAGAGGGACCAAAATGGATGTTTTGAAAGTATAGCTTAAATGAATAAAAGTTGAAAGTACAATGATTAAAATAAACGTTTTCAAAATACAGTGACCAAAATGAACCAAAACTAAAGGAACATGGATCAAAATAGCAGTTCAACATAACTAAAATATAATAAATCTTAAATTTCTAATATAATATCGTGTCTAACGAGTCTTTAAATTAAAAAAAAATGTTCAATACACCTGAACTTTCCATTTTGTTTTTAATAGCTCTCGGCCCGGACTTAACAGATACAAAAGATAGGGAACATATTAAACACAAAATTAAAAGTTAAGAATTTATTAGACACTTTTTAGTTAAGAGGTCTATTAGACACAATTTTAAAAGATGAAGAACTAAATATGTCGTATATTTTTACTCGTACACGTTTTTTTTCCCTACACTTAGTTCAGTAATAAATAAATGTGCAATATGATATGCTTCAAATTTTAGTTGTCTTATTGTTCATGGTCTCGGATTTCTATTTTGAAAGGTAGTGCCAAATGGCTGCGGCATGTGATGCATAATTGAATCAATTTACGAATGTTCAAATTTGTACAACAAATTTAATTTGTTGATAGGGAATCTTTGAAAATATTGCATGCACAAGTTACAAGTTTAAATGTGTAGATGATACCTAGCTTAAATTATAGTAATTATAAATTTAAATGTGAATTTTTGGAAACAAATTGCGTTGGCCAGAGACGCCAAGGATTTTTCTTCAATTGAGAACAATATTATAATTACATGAGTATGTATTTTTTGTCGTGGTATTTTGACAATGTCTATTTTGATCTTCGGACTTTCAAATTTTGTTCATTTTAGTCAATATACTTGCAAAACGTCATTTTGTTTCCTGTACTTTTTAAAAATGACTATTTTGATATTTATTTGTAAAATTTTAACATAAATTTTATCTATATTGGAAACTCTTTAATTCTATTTTATGGCTACATTTCAAGAAACTTTGTGGGTTAAATTTCATGTTCAAATTGTGATATAAAAAATGAGATAAAAATACAAATGAATGGACCAAAATAATCATTTTTTAATATACAAAAGTAAAAATAGACCTTTTAAAAGTACATGGACTAAAATAATTAAAAGTTAAAAGTACATAAATTAAAATTAACAAAAATAAAAAAATTTAAGAACCAAAATAGACATTTTAAAATTACTAAAAAATAATAAACCTAACCTAATTTATTATATATTTGATTTAGGAAAATTACAGTGGTAGCAAAAATCTTTTATGTATTTTAAAATATGTCAACTATTTTTTAAATTTTCAAATATAGCAAAAATTTTCACTTAAATAGTATATCAAATACTCATATCAGTAATATATCAGTAGTATCAAACACTATAATATATCAAATTTATATCACATACTATACCAATAATATATCATACGTGTATAATATACATATATCAGTAGTCATATATATTATAGATATATACCATACCATTTGAGTAAAAAAGTTGTCATTTTAAAATTGGACCTCCACTTTTTTTTTTTTTAAATATTATATTTTAAAAAAATTAAATGCTGTTATTATTTTGCTAATTTTACTGAATACTTTTGCGGTAATTACTACTTATTTATTTTGCATGACATATGAGAGGATGTCATGGCTGTCTTTGAGTTTTTAATTTATATCATTTGTTTTATCTCTAAGATTTCGATCGGTGGGCTTGGAAATATGTTTTATAAGAAAATTTTTAGGAAGGGATCATAAAATATTAAAATTTATTTCCTGCCCCACCATCTACATCTCCAATATTGCATCTTATTTAATGTAAGTTACATTATGTAACTAATAATTCTTAATAAATTTTGCGGTACTTTTTACTTTCTTTGTTAATTGAAACCATTGAACCTTTTTAAGTATTTACTCATTGAGAATTTGAGTTTAGTCCGACTGATTAAGAAAATTATCAAATTTGAATCTCCATCGTATATATTGTTGTATTAAAAAAGAAAAAGCTCATGTCTGATAAATTTATGTACTTTAATAATATTTTCAATTCTTAATAAAGATGTTAATAACTCTTTGAATTTTCAATTTTATATATAATAAGATTGTACCTTAACGATTAGTTAAGCTAATCAATGTTAGCTCACGTGTAATTTACAGATTTGTTTTATATAATTTATATGATCGTCTTTTTTTAATACAACTTACGAGAAATCGAACTCACATTCCTTTAATTATAGATATATACCAATTACTGCTATGCTCGTTCGTTATTTACGTATAGAGTGAAAAATAAAAAGAGGAAAGGAGGGAGAGGTCAAAAGATGAATGGACCGCAGTTGATGCTTTGAAGTTTGAATATGGGACTTGGTGAGGTCATGATTCAAATGTTTGGTCCCACAGTCTTCCACTAACTTTCGGTCAAAAAAAATCTATAAATTTTATCTTTTTAGCATCACCAATCACAATTTAACTTACGAGAAAATTTGAATCAAAATACTATTTCGATGCTTATAGTATTCGTTATACTTTTAAAATGTTGAATTTGATTAATGCATTTTTAATTTTAGTTCATTTTAGTCTCTGTAATTTTAAAATGTTTGTTTTGGTCCTTACAAGTGGTTATTTTAATTCCTAATTTTATTTCTAATCTCATTTTTCTACTAACTCAATATATTTTTTGAAATATAATCATTATTTTATACTAGAGGATTTTTGTTACATGTAGATTGTGTAAAATTTTTGCAAATAGAGACCAAAATAATCACTTTTAAAAATTAACCGTGATCAAAATGAATATTTTAAAAGTACGAGAATTAAAATGAATCGTGAAGGTACATGAACCAAAAACAAAGTTGAAGAATATAGGAACCAAAATAGTATTTTAGCAAAAAAGTTAACATTACTACCATATCTTTTAATACACATGAACCCTATGACTCAGGAGGGATAAGTAAAAGTATCTATTTCTTCTCTTGATCGAAATATATTTGTTGTATAAAAAAAAAATAATGGGATCACGTTTTCATATAAATTATAATTGAATAAGTCTGAAGTAAGTCAATAAATTAAACATAAGCATAATCTAAATTCATAAATCTAATTAAAATTTTCTAAAAATTTTTACCCTTTTTTAAGAATTTAATACACTAAAATAACTTAATTTTAAAAAATTAAGATATGTATTTGGAACTTCTGGAAGTAGTATTTTCATAACTTAAAAAGGATGCCAGCATGAGCATAATTTAACTTTAAAGCATCTGGCTGTTTCTTTAGGGATTGAAGGTTAAATTTTCCATTTCCACGTTTTTTTTACTAAAAAATATGTTTTTTGGCCCAAATTGTGTGTTTAATTAATTTGTAACTATTATATGATTAATACAAATTCCAAATTTCTAATTGGCTAAAACTATACCAAACTGAGCATAGCTCAAGTGGTTACCAAAAGATCATGAGTTCGAATCCACCACTCATTCGTCCTGACCAAATAGTCGAACTTAAAATACTCCATAAAAGAGCCTGATTATATTTTAACACTTCACTTCTTCAATCTTGTCATCATCCATGGTTACTAAATTGTGTCATATTTTTTAGGTAATGATATAGTCAATAATAAATGATGAAGAAAATAAATATTAAAATAAATAATGGAAATACGTAGAAACAGAGACAAAGAACATATTGGCTTCAAATACGACTAACCAGAGATCACAGAAATGGCAGAGTAGAGGGAAAAAAAAAAAAAATCCTAGCCACCTTATTAATATATATATCCATTTTCGAAGAACTCCATTTTAGACTTTTTAGCAGCTCCACCCTTCACCGCCATGAAAGAAAATGGTTATATAAAGAGAAACACCATTCAATTTTTATTTCTCACAAAATACCATATAACTTATTAGTAACCCAACTATATACAATTAAATTATTGTGTAACAGATATTTTTTTCCCTGCCTTTGTGTTTGTGTAATATATCACATTGATTGTGATGGCGTGGAGGTACAAGGGAGGGCTGATTCTTCTCATCGCTGTAGTAGTCATATGGGTTTCCTCTGCAGAGATCACACAGGTAATTAATTATCTCATATCGTTCATAGATTTTTGATATCGTGTCTAATAAATCCCTAAACTTTAAAAAGATTCCAAATAAGTATCTAAAATTTTTAATTTTGCATCTAAAGAAACTGCCCGTTAGTCACAAAATTGAAACTTCAAGAATTTATTAAATTAACCATTTAATTTCTATTCTTACTATTTTTAACACTTTTATGAGCTTGAAAATTAGCACAAGACCCAACAAATGTACTATTATATAAAATGAAGAAATGAGAGTATCCTATAGATCAGATTCTAACTATGCATGATAAATTATCACTAGACTCAAAAGCTTGAGCGTAGTGATATATTACCGTAGTTAATTTTTATTATTTCTCTGTGTTGGTAGAGTATTTTCAGGGACTACGAGCACCCATTTGTGATGACATACATAGGAACCTCGATGTTGGTGGCTTATCTTGCAATAGCATTCATCAAAGAATGCATAGTGAAGCTGTTCAGAACCCATTTTTCAAATGGAAACTCCAAAAAAGTTGCAGAGGTAGCCCAGCCACAAGTCATGGAAGAAAAAAGCAATAACCCCTCTTCTCCAAATAATAATAATAATAATAATAATATATCAGAGGTGGGAGATGGATCAGAAGTTCATTGTGTGGTGCAAATTCAATGTGAAGAAGAAGTTGTGAGTGTTGATAAAGATAACTATGGTGGCTGTGAATGTGAAAATCAAGAAGTGGCAATGGCGTTGAAAACAAAGGAAACTAAGTTTGCTGTCTTGGCGCTCACCATTGGCCCCATTTGGTTTGTTTCTGAGGTTAGTGACTCGGGTTCTATTTTTTTTGTAACGTTTTTGTTTCTTCATTTTTAATAAAGAAAAATGAATTTGCATGACCTAACATGAATTCAAAGATAAAACAATTTATTTATGTTTTGGAACCAATTGAAAATACGAGCACCCTCAACTTTCTTAATTTTGTTGTTATTGAATTTCTTTTTTTCTAACTTGGAGTAGTAAAGACCAAAATAGAGGGGTTGAAAATGTTTAATGAAGTTGTTTCGAAAGTTTAGAGACCAAAATGGACTAATTAAAGGGCGTGGAAATGTTTGGATGCAGTATTTTACAAATGCAGCACTTGCAAGAACAAGCGTAGCGACGACCACCATATTGTTCTCAACATCAGGGCTATTCACACTCATAATAGACGCATTCTTGGAAAGGCAATCTTTAACAATCGTAAATATTGTCGCCGTCGTCGTCAGTCTCGCCGGCGTCGCCATGACAACCATCGGCAAGACTTGGGCCAAAGACCAACCCCACTCCACTTCCTCTGAGTACGCTTCTTCTCTTCTCCTCTCTATTTTTTGCTTTCAAATTGGCTTTATAAATTGTAATTTGAACTCATATTCAACTGTTCTTAGAGGGCACACTCGTAACATCCCACGGCAACATTCACAATAAATAATTAAATAATTATTTTAAAAAAGATCGTGAGCTTAAACTCTCCGCTAACCATAATTTTAAATGTTAAGGTCTCAATTTTGTAGAAATAATGTCAATATGATAGTTAGAGAAGTTAAAAAAAATCGCAAAAAATATTTAAACTAGTAAATAAATATTTTCTCTATTTATAAGTAAGTTAAAAATGATTAATATTAATATTATGTATATATCAGTGACATTTTGTTGATATTTTTCATATTTTGTCGATTTTTTTGTACTACGATGAAAATGTCAATTTATCCTTCATGTTAAGGTGAAATCGATAGATACATAGACATGTCAATAAAAATGTCAACCTCTGGACGACATTTAATACCATGCCGCTAACATATTGTTAATTATTTATTTATTTATTTATTTGGGAACTTATTTTCAGGCATGGAAAGCACTCATTCGTTGGAGATGCATTTGCTCTGCTCTCAGCCCTCACCGATGGGCTTTACTACGGTTGGTGGCTGCTGCTTCCTTTTTAGTTTAGTTTGGTTGGTTATTTTATTTATTTATTTACTTATTTTGCTAATTAAATATTTTTCTTTGAATTAATTGCAAATAAATGAAATGGTAATAATTAATTATGGAACATTTTCATGATCGGAAAAAGAAATTGTGTGCAGTGCTTTTGAAGAAGTACGCAGGGGAAGAAGGGGAAAAAATTGACATGCAGAAATTTCTTGGCTACGTTGGATTATTCACTCTCACTACTCTCTGGTGGCTAAGTAAGAACATCAAAATCAAATTAAATTAAAAAAACACCTCTCTCTCTCTCTCTCCTCCCTCTCTCTCTCTCTCTCTCTCTCTCTCTCTCTCTCTCTCTCTCTCTAAATTCTCACATTTGGGTTTGTTTTTTTCAGTATGGCCATTGAGAGCCATTGGAATAGAGCCCAAATTTGCAATCCCACGGTCCACAAAAGTGGCGGAACTTGTGCTTGCCAATTGCTTCATAGGAAACTTCCTTTCCGATTACTTCTGGTTCGTACATCAAAATAATTTTACGCCGTTGGATGTATGAAATTTATCATCCATCTAACGGTTAGGAGAGTGACAAAACATTTTTATTACGAAATATTAAGATAAGAGAAATGGTTGTAGGGCAATGGGCGTTGTTTGGACGAGTCCACTTGTAGCTGCTTTAGGTGCTTCTCTAACGATACCACTCGCCATGTTGGGAGACATGGTCCTACATGGCCGTCATTATTCTTTGGTTTACATTTTCGGATCCCTTCAAGTAAGTATTTAAAAATATATAGAAAATACTTAGTTACTAACCCGTTATGAAGTAAAATAATTTGCCATATTTTTTGGTTGGTTTAATTTGTAGGTATTTTTGGGATTTATGATCGCTAACCTTTCGGATTGGATATCGCCAAAGTTGAAGTTGAGGTCGAGATTCTTCAATGATGGATCAGCAAAGTAAATATGTGAAGCTCTAATTAATCACATGACTATATGTTATATTATGTTTGGAGGGATAAATTATGCTTTCCAAATGAAAGAAATTGTGAGATAAACAGACTTTAAAATTTTAGTAAACCAAAATAAGAGTAAAAGTTCCTTTCTTTTTGCCATTGTTAGAAATATGAATGATGATTCTACTTTTTTTCCTTCACTCAAAAGTCAACACAATTTTAATTTTAATTTTTTTTTCATTTTACTCCCTGATTTTTAAATTTTTTTTTTTTATTTTGGTAATTTTCTGAACAGATATTCATTACTTACCTAAAAACAAAAAGGCTGGCTGGGAAGATCAAAGTTTCTAAGGAAATTGTATGACTTCGAATGAAAAATTGTTTGTAGTTGATTTTTGCATTGGACATTATTTTATCCAATGCCTAAGAATACATTAATTTCTTTAATCGGATCGGAATTTGTAGGTGCGTTTGAGGTTAAATATTAGGGGTGCTTTGTGCTGGTAAAATTAGTAAAAAAAAAAAAAAAAAATTAATAGGAATTTATAAAAGTATTGAATTTTGCAAAAACTACGAAATGTGGAGGCCCATATTCCAGTGGGAAGAAAATAAAAGTTCAATATACCTTCAAAAACCCAGAGTCGAAACAATTATATATCTAATATATTAATGACATACTTTATATATAACTCATTTGATATAGGCTCCCTATGGAAAGTCTGGGTTTCAAGCCCTAAACGGCCTTCAGGTCCACCCGCGATTAATATACTTAATATGAATATTGATATATTTGATATATTACTTAATCTTTACTGTGTTCTATTTCTTTTATTGAATTGTGTTGTGTTATTTATAAATATTAGATGGAATGTTGTCTTTTATAACCTAAATGTCTTTTTTCTACACCCGATATGAATGGTAAATTGATGATATACCAACGCCTTGATTTAATATAACATTGATATACATGATTTGATATAATATTGATATATATATCTGAAAATATAAACTAAAAAACTGAAAATCAAATTTTAAGTATTTCATCATATTTGCAAAACCAAAAGTTGTTATATTTACAAATATGGTAAATATTTTAGCTATCTATTACAAATTATCTATTACAAATTCTCTAATAATTCAGTGTGTATTTTTAGATTCTATATATAATTTTAAATTTTTTAGAAAAAAATTATTATGGTATTTATGAGTTATTATTCACTTATTAGTACTAAACAATCATTTTTTTTAAAGAATAATTAAAGGTTATTCTAAAAGTGAAAAAACTATAATGGAACAACTTTAAAATTTATATCGTCCAAAAACTTGTAAGTATTAAAAAAATAACAAATTTTGTTTAGAAAACTCTTCAGAAAAGGAAAATTGTTTTAGAAAATATAAAGTTTCTAACATCAGTTTCAAATGGCACATTAGTATTAATTTTATATTGGGATAAAATATATACGATCAGATATTAAACCGGAAAATTGAAGAATCCGAAAATCAAAAATCGACCACAGTGGGAGTCGAACCCACGACCTTTTGATCCGAAGTCAAACGCGCTAATCCACTGCGCTATGCGGTCAATTGATGTCTGACAACCAATTTAATAAATATTATTAAATATTGTAAGTATTTCTCACAAAACCAAATACCAACATTCCTTAATTTCACTTTTCAGACGATAAATAATCACATTATTCATAATACCTAAAATTCCAATTCTATAAATTCGTGTTTCTCCTTTCTTTTGATAAAACTAAACAACTTTACTACTAAAAGTTCTTTTTAAGTTTTTTTTTTTTTTTTTTACAATCTTTAATCATTCTCACTATTATAAAATTGTGCGAAAAAGAACGTGAAATTGGAACCAATGTGAAAAAATGAGTAACGACTTTCTGTTATGGTTCCTCTCTAAACCATCCCAAAAATCTTTACACTTTCAACCAAATTTACTGTCTTTCACATGAAAGAGTGTGAACCATAATTAGATTAGATACTACTCTATAAACCAGACAGCAAGTAATATCATCTCATCTCAACATTTCTAGCTCCCACAACTAAGCATTTCATATTTGATAATGGGAACACCAATGACCCAAATTCTTCTCATCTTTTACCTTATTATTTTGTTCCTCTAACTCACACACTTTTGACAGCTTTTGGTTTGTTCAACAATGGCTACCAGGAGTTTGCAAATTCCAACTATGCGTCCGACCAAGACTAAAATCCATGGCTCGTGGCCTCGATATAGAGGGACCTCAGCGAGCAAAGCAAGTGCACTGACAATTTTTTTTTTTTTTTATTTCACTAAAGTAACACCCATAACACCAAAATCTCAAATTTTCATTCATCGACCATGCATCGACTCTACTCTAACGAGTCAACCTAAGCATAACTATGTTGGTTAATGAATGGCTAATTATATGTTGTTATAATTATGTTATGGTTAGGTTGACTCATTATAATTAGTCATTCACTAACCATAGAGTTATGCTGAGGTTGACTCGTTAGAGTAGAATCAGTGTATGTCGATGAATGGAAATTTGAGATTTTTATATTTTGGGTGTTACTTTAGTGAAAAAAAAATTGCTGAGGTCCCCCTATTTCGAGGCCACAAACCATGGATTGTAAAAGATTGTATTCTTGGTCGATTTGCAAACTTCGGGTGGCCATTGTTGAACAAACCAAAAGCTGTCAAAAGTGTGTGAGTTAGCAACGAGGAACCAAATAATAAAAGCAAAGATGAGAAGAATTTGGGTTTTTGGTGTTCCCATGATCAAATATGAAATGCTTAGTTGTGGGAGCTAAAAATGTTGAGATGAGATGATATTACTTGCTGTGTGGTTTATATAGTAGTATCTAATCTAATTATGGTTCACACTCTTTCACATGAAAGGTAGTAAATTTGGGGTAGGTTTTTGGTTGAAAGAGTGTGTCAACTTAGGAAAAGAAAAGTGTAAAGATTGTTGGGCAAAAATGACCAACGACCTCAACATACTCTAAAACTCAATACTTTGGCAATATCAACAATCACCTTTGTTGCCTATGTAGAGACTAAACTACCTCTTAAAAGGGTAATTGTGTACATCATTTTTGTACTCTTCCCTTTTTGTTGGGAAGAAAAATCTTCACAAAATGGATCTAATGATTTGTGTAACAAGTTTCTAAAGAGACAACCTATTTGTTACCAATTCTTCTTCTAAGGGGGGAAAAGTTTGTTTTGTTTTTGTAACAATTTTGCTTACATCAGTATCAATTTTTCATCAATACTTGCTAAAATATGTATCTTTCAACATTACTTTAGAGAATTACATAATCCCAGGAAGATGTCTCAACTAAAATCCTCTGCTGCTAGATAACAAAAATCCAGAAGGTAACAAAGGACTTGCACTTGTCAGTCTAGTTCTACACAAGCCGCAATCTATGGAGGACGACGAATCCACGTTATTTTTCGACTGGTTATCACTATTTTCTGTACAGTTGTGATTTAAGACTATCATTTCCTGTTTCTAAATCACAGCCATCCCAAAAAAAAAAAAAGAAAAAAAAAACAGTGCTAGTGATAGATTAGTTCATGGAAAAATAGTCGAGGATGCAAAAACTCCCACCTTCTAAGCTGCCCATTCAAGTCAAAGCCAAGCCTAACTCCTATTGTTGGTGTGATGTGATATTATATGTACAACTCAACTCATGCCTGTCCTCCTTTTGAGTCGTCGATTTTGGTGGACGGTTCCGTGCACAAGGGACAAGGTGGATCGCTTCTGTCTTCGACCTTTGACCTGATCTCCAGACAGTCTGCATGATAGACATGGCCACAAACTAAAACCGCAGCAACAGGAAGTTCACTGGAAGAAAGCGTGTTGCCGAGAAAGCAAAGCTTTCGTCTCATCAGCTTTTGGCAAATTCCACACAGCATTCTCACTCCATGAGATGAAATTGCATCCTTCCCTAAGGAACTGTACCTTATCCTCTCTGGCCCCCAAAAGGTATTCTCAATGCTCTCTAAAATCAATGCAAAAAGTTGAATTAATACAGAACGAATAACAACATCATCAATGAAGGAAGCAAATTATCTTCCCCCACAAAAGCTAGAGCTTCAAATGGTGTGGGATGAGGGGAAGATCATTACAATTTATCTAGATGGAGATTCTAACTTGATTCGAGGTATATGATACATAATTAGGAAATTTTCCCTCCGTAAATAAGTGTTTCCTGCCATACAATTTATGGTTCTTTCAATGACAGAATATGACCAGAACTGCTTACTGCAGATAAATGAGATAGAAAAATAGGCGACCGATGCTGAATATATTGATGTCATAAAGAATATGAAATCTAATTCAAAGAAACGGTGCAATAGTCATCCAACCAGAAGAAATGTTTTTTTTTTCTCTGATAAGAAACGGAAACTATATATTCAAAAAGCCAAAGTGGCCAAAAGAGAACAACCTAAAGGCACAACCAGAAGAAATGTTGGAGTTTTACTTATGCTTATTTATTCCATCAGAGATGTGGTATACAAATCACCTCATACTTGCATAGTTTATGTTTTTGGGTCTTTTCATCTGATTATATGGCCATATAATATGTGGAGTACAAATTTTCTAGACCTTATACCATATAAGATCATACAAGTGAACATGTCATTGCAACAAATAGACTCCCATTCCCTCTGAGAAAAAGCGTACAACCGTGTTTAGGAACTTCAAAAAGGGTACCTATGTGGTTTGGGAACTCTGAGTTGCAATGAGCAGCAAATTTAAAGGCGGGTCGCTCTTCAAGTACAGTTCTGACTCGATTTTCACGAGAGGTGGATGCATTTGCTTGACTGGTTGAACCTCGCCGACAATATTGATGACTATACTGATGACGTGAACGCTTCATGAATACTGGACGAGCAAGACTCTGATCCTGCTGGTTCAATGCAGCTTAGCTTTTATAGATTGTGATCCACTAAAAAGAGAACTTAACAAAAATGTTCCTCGAGAAAGGGAAAGGATAGAACTATTCTTTTGTCTACTCACTGAAGGTGGAACCAAGGCCAAGGAAGCATACAAGTTTAAATAACAAAGTAGAGTAGAAATAGTTTCCCAATTTTAGGATGGGTAAAATTTCTGAAGCAAACAAAAGAGTACAGACCTCTTCCGACAGCACATCCATTTGATTGGAAAAAGGCACCACACCTGCAACATACGTAAGATAAGAACCATTTCATTGTTCAAAACATAGGATAATCAGATATACCAAGGACTTCAAAAGATAAATCATCAGTTCTAAAACGTAAGACTAACTCAAACTCCACCTTGATATCTAGAATAACACATCTCAATCTTCGTCTAATCAAAAGAAAAAGAGCTCAAATGTATCCAACCAGAGCTAATTCCAAAAGATATTGAAGCAGACAAATAACTGAGATTAATGCATCTATAAGGGCGTAAACAACCCAATATCTGGTCGTGGAAATAAAATACTCCCACAGCAAAGGAAACCAACAACCGTTCTTTATTTCCCACAATTGAACTTCCAAGAAGAAAAGGCAAAACCCAAATGCCAAATTACTTAAAAACCCACATCACCCCATTAAATTTAAAGCACAAACAAAGGTGATTCAACAACGTCTCGATGCAAAACAATCAACAATCTCATTCAGACATTTCTACAAACAGAAAGAGTGCATGTGGGTAAATGGGGAAGCATACCGGAGAGGTGAAGAGGAGGATCGGGGTGGGTGTGATCAGAGGAGGCCCGCTTGCGCTTCCCCATAGTAATTAAGAATGTTAATAAAGCGTGGGAGAGTGAGGATTAATATAATTAGGAGGTTAAATTTAGGCGATGATCTGTGGTGAGCGTGGGGAAATTGAATGAATGCTTGGGCCGGTGGAGGAGGCAGAACAACAACAAAAACCCGGTGGATGAGGTTGCTTCGCTTTGCTGCTGCTGCGGATTTACGGTTCGACAGAGGAAAAAGATGAGTTTTTTTTCTTAGTTTATTCCAGTTCGGGCCTTTCCTTTCTCATTCCCTTTCTTTGGAAATAAAGCAAGAAAAAGCCTCTCTACATTCCTTATTTTTCCTTTTTGTTATTCTTGTTCTCGCTTTTGTTTTTGTTTTTATTTCTTTTTCAAAGTCTAACCATGGCAACATAAACCACTATTAAATTTATATTTCTCTTAAAAGTAACTATTTATCTATTTACCTTACTCAGCTATCTATTATATTTTATCTTATGTCAATCCTCGCTGAGGCTATGCTCGTTTTGTCAAATGTCTACCGTTAATATTACTTAAAATTTTCATAAAAATATAAATATATATTACTTAAATGTTGATGAGACATATTGATGTGGATAAAATGAGAGTAGATGGGTCATAAAAAGATTTTGATGGAGCACAGAGGTGGAATAGTTTTTTTTAGGGCCCGTAACATTTTGGTTTTTTTTGTTTTTAGTTTTTGGTTTTTGATTTTCTATTTTTTTTTTAAAAAAATCAGATATGTTTGATAACCAATTTTTATTTTTTGTTTGTAAAAAACAGAAAACCAAAACATGTTTGGTAACTATTTTTAGTTTTTTGTTTTTAAAAAAGTTAGAAAATTGAAAATGTGTTCTCCATTCTCGTGTTCGTAAAGATGACAATGATATGGGTGCGAGCGAGTGAAGATGTGTTCTCCATTCTCGTGTTCGTGAAAATTTTTAATCTCCGTCTCTGCCTCGTTCTTGGATCCGAGAGATGTTCTTGAGAAAAATTATCAGTTTTATAATTGTTTATAACTATTTTTAGAATTTAAGTATAAAAAATATATATTAATTATTTAAAAAATAGAATCGGGGACGGGGACGGGACATTCATTTCCTATTTTTGGGACACGACCCTATTTTTATCCTGAGACATAAAAATACAAGTTTAGATAGATGTAAATAAACTTTTGGAAGATAAATTTTAGAGGGATAAATAAAAAAAAATTAGAAAAAAAATAGTTAAAGAAAAGTTAAAAACAAAAAGAGAAAAATTATAGAGAAAAAAAATAAAGTCGGGAGGAAAAAATATGTTAAAGAAAACAAAAGAAATTTACAGAAACAGAAAAATTATAGTGGAAACAAATTTAGAGATAAAGAACAATGTTCAAAATATATTTTTTAGAGAAAATAAATAAATACAAAGATAAATAAAAGTTACAGTAAAAGAAAATTGAACGAGAAAATAAAATATAATTTTCAGAGGAAAAAATAGATTAGAAAATTGAACGAGAAAATAAAATATAATTTTCAGAGGAAAAAATAGATTAGGAAGAGAAAGAAAAATTATAAAATATGAAATTTTAGAGAGGAAAAAGTTATGAAAAATATTAAATTTGTAGGGAGAGAAATGAAATTGGTCAGTTAGAAAAAAAAAATAAAAATACAGAAAAATTTGAAGAGAAATAAATAATAATAAATATTCAATAAAAATTTTAGACAAAGAAAAATTCTAAAGAAAAATAAAGTTTGTGGAGAGAAATTTAGAAATAAAAAATTTTAGAGTGAAAAATAAATTTTTTAGACACAAGAGAAAGAAATAAAAGTTGAATATTAGAAAAAAAATCAGATTTTGGTTTTCAAACTCTGTTTCTTTTTTTTTTTTTAATTTACATATAATTTCAAAATAATTTTTAAAAAACAAAAATAAAAAGCAATAACCTGTTTTTTAAAAATTAAAAATAAAAACCAAGAACAAAAAATTAAATGCCCTTACTGTTTTATTTATTTATTTTGCTTGCATACTCTTATTTTATTACGTTGGTTTACTTCCTCGATTTACATCATGCTAAATATTACTTGTTATAATAATTAACATGTCACGTCACTTTGATTTCAAAAAAAAATAATAATAATAATAATTAACATGTCAGATTGTCTCCGTCAAAAGAAAAAAAAAACATGTCACATTGTCGCATCTATATTTAAAGTTGTTTTTTATTATGTTGATTAAAAGTTTTAAAATTTTATGGATTAATACATACCACAGTAAATATATTTTATTTAGTTTTTTTTAATAAATATTTTATTTAGTTATATTCTAATATATATACACATACATATATGTATATTCATTCAGCATTATAGTTGCGTAACTCGCCAACAAATAATATTGATTGATTTTCTAAAATTTGTTATTTATTAAAATATTACAAAAAAGAATTAATAATTTAAGAAATATTCTGTGCGATCTTCTGAATGTTACTACGAGCCCAAAAGGACTTATTGGGCCGGGGTTATTGAGTGGGTCCAAGTAATCGAGACAGATGCTGCTTTGTGTACAGATAGTGGGCCTACTGTATTCAGCCTCGTACATATTTTGGGCCCCTCTCATAAATTTTTAGCCCAACAATGTTTTGAGTATTTTAATGGTAGGAAACCAAACTTTAAATTAAATCATGATCTGTGAGTTAGATTATAGATACTTAAGGATACACTTATTTTTATTTCTTGAAAATAATAGCATCAAAATGTGAAAGATATAAATTTAAATCTTCACCAATGAACTAATACATGACCCTCGAGTTATATTTTTAAAGTTAAGTTTTAGATAATATTTGTAAAGGAAAAAAAGTAGTTAATTTTTAAATAAGTGATTAGCCTGTTTCTTTAAGTTTTGGATTATGATCCAACTTAAGTATATCTAACATGGTTAAGACACCTATCTCAGACCAAAATATTATGGATTATGAATATATGTGAATACATTAGTTCAAATGACGACTTTGACCTAGTCAACCCAACTATATTTTTGGTTTGTTTGACCATATCTTATTTTTTCCATTATTTTAATTTGCACGCAACAAAGATAAATTTGTTACATGTGATATTTTCATTTTTAGGATATTTTTTTATCCAAAAGGAAGTTGGTGGGTTGTATAAGTATTCCACTTATTATTATTGACTTAATTAAATAAAATATCTTGAAGTATCTAGATGATTTTGTTAATACATCGTTTTCTCAAATCCCACATTTTCTTTTAAATATTCCAGCTTAATGGATTTAAATAATAGTATTTAAAACTATGATTATTTTTTATTTTGTGTATGTGTGTGAATATGTATCATAACAACCATAAATAGTATGTTTATTTACAATTAAAAACTTGACTTGAATCATTTGCCTTATTTAAAATTGTCAAATCCACTATTTATTTGGTAGGTATAATTTTCTGAATAATAGTTAATTTCGAGTCAATTTCACTTATTGTGGAAATAATTATCAATTCAAAGTGGCCCAAGTCAATTACATTATTTCACCCTAACCTAACCAAAACCGATATTATCATTAATAATAATTTCCTATAAGGGAATTNACAAGAAATAATTCATAAAATAATTATATCAATTTAAAAACATGGCCTTTTTTCGTTTAAAAAAAGCATAGACAATTTGATATTTTGATAAGAAATCAAATTATTATTGTTGCAAACCTGAGCGTGTGATGGTATTTATACAAAAAGTCGGAGGTTAAAATTTGAAGAAGAGCGATAATTAATTAACAAAAAAAAGTTAAAAAACTACATTAACTCTGGGGAGAACAAAAAAAACTGAAAATAAAATAACACAAAAATCGATGATTTTAAGCGGCAGAAATTTGAAGAAAGGTGTTGGTCCTGCTCCATCCTCGAACCGCATGAAGGGATAGGATCCCTTATCTTTTGGGACACATTCGAACATGAATAGTCCGAAATGCCCTTTATCGCCAACCAATACAACCAATTTACTCCCTTGTCCCTTCTCCCCCGCCATCGTCTGTTCCCCATACTACCCTTTCCGGGAATTCAATGGCCCCACACATTCTCCACGTCAACATTGTGAAATCAATACCATTTTTGTTTTTCAGATTTTCTTCCTCCATCGTATATTCCCTGTGAATCCTATTTTTATTCCTCAAGTTTGCTTTTTGGCATGCAATTCGAATTCTGTCACGCTCTATTTGGTATATAATTTGAATTTTATTTTTATTTTTCAGATTTATTAAATTAAATAGATTTGTTAAATATTTATATGGCATACTTATTTTTAAATTGTTTTTTAATGTCTTACTAAAAAAACTGTTTTTGAATTCAATCCAAATCATAGAAATGTTAAAAATAATATTATTTTTTTCGGTGTAGTGATTGACACTAAGGTTATCACACCATATGAGGCCGTTTTTGAGCAAATTTTCTTTATGTAATTATTATTATATTTCTTTTAACGTGTTAAAAAAATTAAATATAAGTGCCACACAAAATTTGTATTTATTAAATCCAGCTATATGATATTTTGATTAGGTGGATTGTGACATTTCATCAATCTAATCGAGTAAATATGTCTATTCCCTCCTAATTATATGGCAATTATTACTTAACTACCATCATCAAACGAACTTCTGTTAGGTCATTGAATGTAATTGTACACAAGCTAACACAATAATGGAGATTAACATTCAAATAATCAAATTCTATCCAACCATTTTAAAGCAATATCATATCGATTGCATAATTAAGAATGTGTTTTTGTGGGAAAGTGATTTTGGAGGGCTAAAAGTGTTTTTCCTTTTTCGTCCTTGTTCTTTTTTTTTTTTAAATTTAAGGTGTTTGGTAACAAATAAAAATACTTTTGCAATAATTAAAATTTTTTATAATCATTTTTTAAGAAATCACTTCTTATTCAAAAAATAATTCTATAGTAATTGATCGAGAATCACTTTATGGTAATTTGATAGATGAAGAATCACTTTTAGATGTAGTGCCACCAAACAAACTCGTAATTGAAATTACTTTAGAAAAACACGAGTAATTTAATTAAAATCATTTTGTTGAAAGTATTTTTTAAAAGGATATATGTTTTCTAAAAATAATTAAATTAGAAGGTATTATATTCCAACTTAAAAACTTACATAATATGGTGAGAACTAACAGTCCCCATGAAACTCTTCGAAACTCACAAATGTTACGGGATTAAGATTCAATTTTAAAATTATTTTTTATTCATGTTTTTAATTGAGTGGATCAAACTTCAAAGTTATTTTAAATTTTATATTTTATCGAGC